TCCTCAAGGACTTTCAGCTGTCACTCAGGGAATACAGTGAATGCAGTGATAAGAATTAGATTAGAAAAAGATCAATAGGGCTGACAATAAATGAAAGTAGCACAGACATTATTGAGCAAATTAGGAGAGAGAAATTAAACTGGACAGTATAATCTTCAATGCCAGCTAGACACACTAATGTTGGACAAAGTTAGGGAGAAGACAGTAAGTTAGAAAGTGGTATGAAGAAGAGGCAGTGACAGCCTGTCTGTGAGACGGGGAAAGCCCTGCTGGTGATGGAAAGGTCTCAGCCCACAGAAAGGTGGAAAAAGATTATAATGATCCAGAAGGACACGGATTTCAGTGGCAGGCCACAAAGAGGCAATGGTGGGGATGTCACTTAAGGCTGGGAACGTGGAGTAGGCAACAGCCTTGGCTACATATTACAGGGGAAAGGGAACCTCAGATGCACCCCACCATCACCAAGGCATTGGTCGGATAGCTTGTTCCAGGCAAAAAAATTTCCTAACCTTCTTGTAGTACAGGTTGGTTTGCCCCATGAAGGTTTGCACCCCTTCCAGAAACCACTCTTCTGTTCAGATGTGATTATTTGCCATAATAACTCCCTGTATTTTTCTGTCTGTACAAATATCCAGTGATGATCAAGTCTGGCAAGCGTCCGGGGTGAGGGATATCTGGTGGCAATGAGATCCATGGGCTGACTCCGCTCAGCATGAAAAGAAGCTTTCCTTTTATCAGTATTGAGTTTGTCTAGATCCTCTTACATGTCTTTGAAAGGTTCACCCCAAGGCAATATAATTGTGTTTGATCACATCCAGGCTATGAGTCAGTGATTGATATGAATAAAGAACTTAGAGTTTCTTGTCTTGGTTCCTTGTCTTCTTCCCTGTGGAATCAGAAATCACTTTTATAAATATATCGGTCCATCTGTGCTTCTAGCTATCCATTTCAAGTATATGTTCCAAAAAAGAAATAGTAACACTTTATAAGTGCAAATAAAAACACACTAAAAGGACTGAGCAAGGGGTTGTTTTTTTTCTTCCTCATAAAGTACATGTGGATCCCATCCAAAAGAGTTACTGTGAGCCATGTAACTTGTAATTAATTCTGCTATAAATGTCAGAACACTTTGCAGGTCTAAGCTGACCCACTAAAATTAGTCCCCTTTTAACAATTCTTTTTATAATTTGTTTTTCAGCAGAAACGGCAGCTTGACCTCCTGACAATAACCAGCCCTGGTAAGTGAGCTCTGCCGCATGGCTCTCTTCTCTTTTCTTAAAGAGATGGTTGTCTAAATGTGTTTTTTTTTCCCCTGTCTCTGACATGCAAAATGAAAAACACTGTTCCCCAGAAAATCTTTCACGTAATAACAAGTGACAGCTATATTGTGCTTGGCAAAGCCCCGGGCAGTTATCCGTTCACAGAGCTGCCTCTTCAGACCTTTACTCTATGAATTTGAGTGCTGATATTTCTTTAAGCCTCCTGGGGTTACAGTTAGCGGTATGTCTGCAGGGCAGATGCCCTCAAATTCACAATGTGTGTTCAAGTATCACAGAAATGCAAGTTTGACTTTTCTTGGTGGCAAATGGGAGCAGTTGGGGAATAAGGAGACAGCGGGCCTCTGTGTACGGGGTGTGAGACAGGAGGTCCAGGCTTAGGTCTGGAGACCCCCAAAGTGGGTCAGAAAATATTCAGGTAAAATTAAAATGCTCTGAACAATCTGCTTCGTAGTGGCTTTTGTCATTTGCTTATGGAGGAGATAATCCAAAACGTGTTTTGCTGGGAAAGTGTTGGGCTCTTTGGCATAGTGAGTTTCAAAGGTCTCAGCACCATGATTGAAATGCAGGTGGTTTGAATAGTGCTTCTCTTTGATCTCAGCTCTTAAGGCTGGGTGGCTTTTAATTTATTGCTATTTTTCTGGCTCAATTTCTTTCCATTAGCTGCTACAGAAGTTTGCTGCCCACCAGCTTCAGATGTACACCGTGCTTGAATGGTGCTGCCTTTTGGTTAACTTTTTCAATTTTTCAGGTGTATGTACGTATTAAGCTTTCAGTTTGGCTTTAACTGGGACTAATGAGTTCTGGCTTTAACTGGGAATAATGTGTTAGCGAAATGAACAGGTGTTACGGGAAGTGAACAAAATGTGACACACATTTGCTTGGATAACAATTTTGCATCAATAATTGTTCTGACACTCTAAATGTAGATATCATCTGTGACATGGTTTCTCCTTCACTAACCTTGTTAAAATAATAAGAATTAAAATAAGGAGGAGGAACACTTTGTTGGGACAGATGTTTGAGGCTATTGGCAATTGCATCGCATTTTTGCATGTTCACTTTTCATACAGTTTGCAATTATGTTAATGTATGCTCAGGGCACTTGCTGATAAAAGCAACAATACAGTGTGATACAGCCATTGTCACTATTCTGACTGTAACTTCAAGGGCAAACATGGCACATTTTTCATTTTTCGTATCTTCAGCATTCCCTATTTCTAGACAAAAAAGACAGAAGTTCTCTGAAGGTCTTAATCATAATAAACACTCAGAGCTTGGGTAAGGGCACCAAAGTCCACAGACTTTTTTTTTTTTTTTTTTTTAATGAGAGAAAAAGAGGGTTAGGGACCAAAATAGCTTAATATAAGACTTTTCAAAAAGTCTTAAAATAAAACCAAATTTATGGTACTTTCCTCATATTTTCAGATACAGTACTCATTGGAACAATTAAAGGGTTGACTAGGTTGAGTTTGTGCATAGATGTGATCACAGTAAGTAGCTATCGCTTCAGATCTCTCAGCTTAATACAGCAATCTACTAAATCAACACAGCAATTAGTTGGAAGGATCAAAATAGCTAAATACTAAACCAGCTTTCAATAACTGCGTAGGTAGACAAACTGCACTAAAAGGGTGGAAAAAAGCTTTCCATAACACGCGTTTTTCTGAAATACAAGTTTTACCCTTTGATATTTAGCCAGAAATCCACAATAATTGCCTCATAGGAAAAAAATTAACATTTTTGCCATGATTATATATTTGAGTGCCTACAGTTCTGCTTTCAGTAAAGCAATTTTCAAAAGAAGCCTGATGCTGGATCAGGGTAAACTTACCTAAGAGCCTAAAGCTGAGATTTTTCAAAGAGGCTGAAAGAGTTAGGCGCTTAATTCCTAGTAGGATTGGAAAATGTCAACCTGTGTATTAAAGGGTCTAGTTTGGGCCCTACAAATACAAAAATAAAGTAAAATAAATCATAGTCTTGAGGCTTTTATCTGTCTTTGGAGACCGCAGCTTTTAAATATTTCATTCTTTGAGTCCTAGCTCTAAGATTTGACATCAACAGTCTGCTTTTACAAAGTCGTGGTATGGTTTATGATGGCTGAGATCAGCCATAATCACCGTCATCCCTTAATTTACGGATTCAAATTAGGGAGTGGGCTATTCATTTGCAGCTGTTAATCCTTTGGGACTTGTTCCCATTCTCCACCTTGCCGCAGGCAGGCAGCCTTAGTATGTGGTGGAGGTCACTCAGCCTTATTTATAGTATGAAAGTCCTCCGCGTCTCACAAGCAGTATCAGCCACCAAAGCCTTATTGCTTAATTGCAAGAATAGGCAAAGGACTTCAAAACCAACAGTGACCTCTGTGATTTGCACTTCTGTCATGATGGATATCATCTTTCTTTTGTGCGTGTGTGAAATTCCCGAACCGGTTTTTGGAAGTTTAGTCAAGGATCGCTTGGTAATGCCTTGCAGGTATTACAACAGCTCTTCTCCATGTGCCACTACAAAAATTTCCAAAAATTGATCAGCCAATTAATGAAATTAATTGCAAGGTAAAACAATGCCATTAACGTCAATTAAGGGGTGCTGAGACACAAGTGCCAAAACGTTCAAAAGAGAGTTTGTGGGATCACGGAAACCTTAATGTTACCTCACGGCTGTTGCGCTGTTCCCTGTGGCCGTGGCTGTTGCACGATTCCCCGGGAATCACCGATGGGGAGGATGCGGTGCCCGTTCCTCGTGTGCTGAATCCCCCCCTGCCCGCGCCGTGCGGAGCCCAGGCTGCGAGGGTGGCCCACCGCCGCCTGTTACCGTACTCCAGGCGCCTTCCGAACAGCGAGCCGTGCGTGTGGCTCTGCAAACCCCGGCTGAACTGCAGCTTGACTTAAAAGCCCATTTGTACATTAAACTGAACAGGTATAGACCGCTAATCTGTCACCTGGGCTGAGGGCACCCTGGAAAAAACTAGAAAAAGGAAGAAACGCAGAGGGTGAGCGCTGCAGCTCTGGCCACATGTTTTGCATGCGACGTACAGAGCTGACCTGTTCTGGCACCCCAAAAAAAAACCCCAAACTGGAGGAAGTCTTTGCTTTGCTGTGGGTCTCCAGAAACAGCCAGACACAAATGATGCATAAGCTGGGAGCGAGCCAGACTCCCTCATGCTCAAATATATTCCTTTGAAGTAACTGACACCCATGTAAAACGTGGAGGGGAGTTCACTGCTCTGCCTTAGTGCTGGGTAGCTGGAGGAATGTTAAGTTAAATTTATCAATGCTCTCGCCACACTCCTTTCTTCTTGCCCCTTGACATGTGAGTTACAATTAGACTGTAACGCGCCGTACGGTTCAGGGTGCCGGAGTCAGAGCTGATGTGCGCAGTGGGGTGGGGGAAAGATGTTAAAAATTCATTAGTAGCTGGCAGGGACGTGCTGGCAGGGAGTGGGACATAATGAGGTTTAAGTTTTGGTAATTTAAATTTTCTTTAGACTTAGTCTTACCTCTGAATTTGATCCAAAGCATTTCCTTAATGCTTCCTATAGTTGACTTTGGGTTTTAGGACCAAATTTTGAGGTGGTTTAATTTGGCCTTGCTGCACAAAGGATCCGAGGATCTGCCCTTAATTTCTACATGATCGTGTTCTAGTAACGCTTTGAACCTGCACATAAAATCACATCACATTCTGTGGTAACCACTCAATAGTTGCAAATAAGATATCCCTGTTTCCATAGCTTTTCCATGGAGACAAAGCTTTTTGCATCTCCTGTGTTTACGATAATAATACAGCTTTCCAATTTCTCTTCTCAGTAAGGTAAGCTCATCTCCCACTGAAGTATTTTTTAATTATTGATACCATAAATGGAAGTGTGTTGGAAACTATTGGCTTTGAAAATAGCTAACATGTGATATTATCCAAGAACCATCAGGAAAATTCTTTTGAAATTCTCTTTGATTCAGCCGTCCTCAGGGCTTTATCCTTCTCTACCAGTCTCTCTACTGCCAATTTAAAATAACATTCTCTTGAAATCAGTGCAATGTCAGGAGAAATTCATCAGCACCGTAGGTGCATGTTTCCCAGATGTATATAAACCCTACTACAGTTGGCAGCAGTAAATTGATTGCATTTAAAAAACCTGGGGTAGTTGAATATTCCATGGTGCCCAGCTTGGCTACAGCATGGAATATAAAGTATTTTAAGTTTCTTTCGGCTCTGTTTTAGGTGATATAAAGTAAGAGCTGACTCCGTAATTCCTGCCTTTTGATTCACTCAGATTTTCCTCTGTCCACGTTACAGGTTTACATGCACAAATGGAGGAGGATATTCCTAACCTCTGTGGAGCAGCACTGAGATTTGATCAGAAATGTTAATGACTTTGTGTGTGCCTCCCCCTAATATTCAAACTCTTACACTTTTAAGCAGGGAAAAAAGCTTGATTTTAAAAGTATTTATCAGACTGATCTATGTGGTGAAATATCCTCCTCCCTTTAATATCATCAGTGCTGCGTGCTCTAAAAATGTCTCCATTTCATTAATTTGTGATACACTGCTACACTGAATTCTTTTAAGGTGGCTTTAGTTTCTGCCATACATATTTTACTGCTCTAAATTATAGATATAGGACTGTTGCCTAGTTAATTTCCTCTGGTTAGGAAAATATATTTCTACTCTCCTGGAGTTGCATGAAGTGATATGTAGGATTTGCTATATTTTTTAGCTGATTAAGTTTTGCATTTCTATATATTACTGCTTACGAGACCTCAAGTAAAACTACGAAAAGGAAGGAGAAGTTTTATAGTATATTTGAAAGTTTCATTTAACTATAAATTCCACCACTAAGCCCCCCTACAAGACTTTTCCATTACCTTCCTGGATATTCTGGCTATCTACTTCTTTCTAATTGAAGCATGAAAATAATATGAACTCAAAGTCATGAAGCTATAAGACAGGTATTAGTAAAAATG